AAAAGGAGAAAACATTTCACTTAAAAAAATTTATTTAGTTAAACTTCATTATTTATTGTCGTAATTATGATTGTTAAAAGGGAGACGACGGAAATTATTCACATAGTTTTACTGTTTACTGTCAAATCACTTAAAAATTAACCGTTGACTCTTTTGGAATTCATTGAATCAGATTTAAGATTCTTAAAGAGTTTATCATACTGTGAAAACTTTGAGGTTCTTTATTAGTTTGAGTGTAGGAAGAGAAAGAGTTATGTGAAATTTAAGTTTTTCATTGCTGAAATCATAAGCGAGTAGTATATTTAAGTGATATGAGTCAGTCAGTCAGTCGGCTACAACGTAGGACCAGGCACATATGTGCATCGGTCCAAGTTGCCATACCTCGTTAGCACAACAAGATGAACACCGGATTCATAGTAGTTAATTTAGTGGTGGTAGTATATAAAAAAGGTAATATGTATAGATATGTATGTAAAATTACCTCACTACCGATTTTATAGAGCTTATATCAGTAATATAATTCATGTTTTATCATTAAGATGGGATTATGGAGATGTTTGTCATAATTCGAATGTATTTTTCAATAAGACTAAAAGTCTATCAAGAAGTTAATGAAACGTACAAAAAATTGGCAGACCGATTTGACCCAGTTTATAGCCGATTAGTAATTTTTCACGCACGACCTCACAACATGATATAACACCTAGTGATTTTTTAGACGATAGCAGTTCACAATGATTATTATCATTATGGAAACAATAGATACGTAAAAAATTTTGGAAAACGTTATATTTATTCAAGTGAAAACATCCACGACATAAGGATCTATTCAATATTGTATAATCAATAAAATCTCCACTAATTAAAAGCAAAATAACTGTTCAATGCTTTTCATTTTTGCGGTTATGTAGACTTTGAAGAGATCTAGAACAAAGATTTTAACAGAATAGCATGAATTCATCTCATTTAGTTTGGTTCTTCGTCAGCTGCTTACAACCTGTAATATTTAAAAATTAGAATGAGTTTAAATTAATTACATGAAAAATTTCAGTTGGAAGTTATTTTAACGACACATTAGTATAGTACAGCAAGGGCGTAAATGATTATAATAAGCTGAATAAAATATTATAATTATACATCTTAGATAAAACAACATTCTACAGAATTGATTGTAACATGAAATTGTTAGATTTAATCGAAATCGTTCAATGTTAGACCACTAGTAAAATCCTGGAAGCATTGTATGACAGTTTCATACTGGTATGGGACTCTCCAGCAGTGAGCATCCACGATCCCACATGAAGATGTGAAGAGCTTCTAATTACTAAATTACTTACTTACTTACGCTTGTTACTCCCAATGGAACATATGCCAACGACCAGCATTCTCCAACACACTCTGTCCTGAGCCTTCGTTTATAGTTCTATCCAACCTTCGTTCATTCTTCTCATGTCTGTCTCCATTTCTCGGAGTAATGTGTTCATTGGTCTTCCTCTCCTCCTTTGACCTTCAGGATTCCATGTGAGAACTTGTCTTGTACCTCAGTTGGCTGCTTGCTCTCCTCAATGTGTGTCCTATCCATTTCCAGCGCTTCTTCCTGATTTCTTCCTCCACTGAAATCTGGTTTGTTCTCTCCCACAGTAACTTGTTACTGACAGTGCCTGGCCAACGGATCCGAAGTATTTGTGTAGACAACTGTTAATAAACACTTGTATCTTCTGGATGGTGGCTTTCGTAGTTCTCCACGTCTCCGTCCCATACAGTAGAACTGTATCGACATTTGTATTGAAAATTCTGATCATGGTGTTGGTAGACAATTGTTTTGAGTTCCAGATGTTCTTCAGTTGCAAATATGCTGCTCTTGCTTTGCCGATCGGAGTCTTCACATCTGCATCAGATCCACCGTGTTGATCAATGATGCTGCCCAGATACGTAAAGGTTTCCACATCCTCCAAAGCTTCTCCATCAAGTGTAATTTGATTGGTGCATATTGTGTTGTATCGGAGAGTCTTGCTTTTCCCTTTGTTTATATTGAGACCTACTGCTACTGAGGCTGCTGCTACACTGGTCGTTTTCTCCTGCATTTGTCGTTGTGTTTGTGATAGAAGAGCCAGATCATCCGCGAGGTCTAAATGGTCAAGCTGCATCCTGCCTCTACACTGTATCCCGTGCATTCCTCCAGATGTTAACGTCTTCATGATCCAGTCGATCACCAGGAGAAAGAGAAAGGGTGAGAGTAAGCAACCTTGCCTAACGCCGGTCTTTACTTCGAGCGAGTCGGTGAATTGTCCTCCATGGACGATTGGGCAGTTTAATCCATTATAGGAATTCCGTATGATATTGACTATCTTCTGAGGCACGCCGTAGTATCGAAGAAGCCTCCATAGTGTTGTCCTGCCCGCGCTGTCAAATGCTTTCTCGTAGTCAATGAAGTTGATATAGAGTGATGAATTCCATTCAATTGATTGTTCCACAATGATACGTAGAGTTGCGTTTCGTAATTACAAAATGCTTCTTAGTTTGTTTTTTCAAAAATAACTCTGTCAACTGATATCGAAAGTTCTTAAGTTAACTAAAAAAAGAATCTCTTTGAAAATATATTCAAATAATGTTGATAAGAAAGCTTAGCCTACAAAACGACTACCATTTCACTATTGGTAGCGGTGTACACATACATATTTATGATAATTAGTAAATATGAAACCAATAATTCTTCAAATTTGTTACTTTGTGTAAAATGTATGGTAAGTAATCACTTATACCACCACCACTATCTCCGCACCTCTTCAAGTCGATTCATATGCCGCGCAGCATGAATAATGATAATTATAATAATAACAATCTACATTTTGCTGTCTTTCTTTCTCGTCAGATTGGAAATGATTTTAATTGATGAAGATACAACAAAAACGGGAAAAGAAATATACATCTGGAAAACTGAATTCATTTATATATACATATATATATGGTGATATACACACACTTTAAACGAATAAACCACTTGATTTTATCTTATTTTCTCCATTTTTTTAAATGGTGGGTATGTTGTTTCAATCTATTAGTTACATAGCGCTATCAATAATAGAAATCTAATAGCAGTAGCAACAGTTGAAATTCGCAAGATAAATAGATGTGTAACCGTATCGGGTTTGTTACTTTTTGTATCGTTGAAATTCTACTGTTAAAAGAACCATGTGTTTTCAAAGTTCCAATCATGATTTTTAACGAGACCAACATTGTAAAACTACAAGTACTAGACGGTCATTTCATCCTACCGTAGAACTTCTAAGCGATTCGTACCCACAACCTTAGGTCTCACACGCGAATGTTTAACCTCTAGACTGTTGAATCGGCATTTAACACAACCCTCATTCATTGCCTGCAGTGGATAACTGAGCTCATTATTGACCAACTTCAAGGTGTAACTCCTAGAGTTTTATAAGAATCAGTGATCAGCGGAGTTCAATCCGTGTAAGATGTGAAACATTCATCTACCACAAGCAGTGGATGACGGTTACGAAATGTCAGAAATGGGTTAAAGTTGGTTAATAACACCGTTGGATACCAGCTCGCGCTCGAGACCGAAGGTGCTTTGTCCGGTCACCACTTGTGAAGTAGTGTGTGTGGACTTCTGAAGGGTCGCTTACTAGAACGAAATGACCGTCTATCGCTTTCAGTTATTCAATGGTAGTCTAACATAGATCTGTCAGCGGTTTCAATGAAATTTAACAATCTCAACAACCTCATACTGACAATCATATGTTGTCTGATAAGACGGACTATTATGATTAAACGGCTTGTGCTTATCTATATATCTATCCAATTATCACACTCCAATAGTAGACTCATTTAAACGGTTAATGATTCCGTCTTATGAAAGTTGTAGATTGGTTCAACATAATTACCTTATTAATTTTATCACATACAAATCAAGGTAATTGTCTTATATATATATATCAAGCATGTAACGGCAGATTCTCAATACATCATATTGTGATTCTAATATAAGTGTCAACCTACATTTCCTCCTCTTGATCAGAAGGATAAATGTATTTATAGCAACAATTCATGTGACTTATTCTTCAGTTTGTTAATTAAAGCTTCTTTTTCACTTCTAACTCTTTGGTTGCGCAGCTAGCAGAGCAAGTTGGTAGGAAGTGTATGTATCTGAATTGGACAATAATGGAATATAACAGATCAATGAGATTAGGTTAAAATAAAGGACCAAGGAAACACGATATTGATTATTACTCATTAATGTATTCTTCAACTAAGTGTAAAATCTCATTAGAGTTACGCAACTAGAAATTGTCAATCACCTATTTGTCATCAAACAGTGCATAAATCTTCTCCTTAACAAAAAGCGGTACATTTATTTTACAGAAGTATAAATATCAGTAACAGGTTGTGAAGATTGTCAAGTTATTGATTGACATCATGAATCGATCAATGTTGAACTACCGCTGAAAACCGTTTCGTCCTAGTACAGGAATCTTCAGCGATGCTCATCCACGATCTCGCCCGCGGGATTCGAATCCAGGACACTCGGTCTCGCGCATGAACGCTTAACCTCTAGACCACTGAAAAGTTTTTTGTTGTTTTCAAAAGAGTTATGTCTACAATAAGTAATAAAATCTTATTACCAACACACACACCCACACAATATATTTGTAAACAAAAAAGTAACCATACTGACTTAAAAAAGGAATGAATAACATCAACATGCTCAATTAAATTTGCCAATACTCTTTCCTTAATCCATTCATTTAAAATTAATTCTCTTCTCATGCATGAATTAAGATCCAAGTTTACAGTAATTATAATAATACTAAATTTCAAAGATAATCTCTTTTCTCTGTCTTTTCTCAAAATGATAATTGTCAAGAAAGGGAGAGATGGCAACATTTTTTTTAAAAATAAGTAGTATTTCAATATGTCTTAGACAGTGTACTCACATTATCCCTTTCAGTAACATCACTCCTGATCTAAGGTGAAGAGTTTTAATCCAACTGTCTACCATACATCGATTGTATTTCAAGTTTGTTATTGTTGTTGTTATTATACACCCTGTCATCATCATCATCATCATCATCATCATCATCATCATCATCATCATCATCATCATCATCATCATCATCATCATCATCATCATCATCATCATCATCATCATCATCATCATCATCATCATCATCACTGCCAATTTTTATTTCACTAGTATTTCTTTTCAGTGTTTTTTTTATAGTTTAAAATGAAATGAAATACACGAATCATTGTTGAAATTAATGCAGATTAAAATAGACGGCAAGTGACAATTAAATGTTTAATGACAATCATCTTTTCTTAATGTTCAATAGAAGTTTAATATTTAACAGTTTCGAGCACTTTTCATTCAATTAGTGAGTGATTTACTTCATATTAGAGTATGATTGTCGTTGGGGATTTCATTTCAATCATCGAAAGATGTCTACATATGTTTTCTATGAAGATGCCATTGTAACATACTCCAACTAATTGGATGTAAAAAGCAAATGAATTGAGTGCGTTTAGAATGAATTGAGATTATCAGTAAACGGGAAGATACTTGATATTGTACATATTCTAAACAGTGATAAATAGACACACTACAGATTCTCGGACATGTGTCCTATCCTTATTACTGTTCTATCAACATTTCAAAGAATCGCTCTTCTATCCCCTTTCATTGCTAACGTCCAATTATCCATCCATCAAACCACTGAATGTATATCAAGACTATAGTTCATGAGAAAAGAATTTCCTAACACCAACTAGTGAAATAATAATTATTAGCTTCAGTAAGAAACGCTTTTGAAATGAGTTTTTCAAATATGTAGTACATAGAGTTATGAAAGTTATTGAATTTCATAGTTTTACATCCTGAACTAACCATGTTGAATGTGATGAAAATGTCAACCATCCCAGTAGATAATAATCACTCAATATCGTGAACTGAATGAATTTAGAAATGTCATCAACAAGATTGAACACTCACCAAGAGATCTGAAGACTATGCGCCATTGATTCCTAGTACCATCGAGGAATCCCGTAATAGAAAACAAACAGTTTCCCAGTGTTTCCTAGCTTTTAATAATTGTCTAACTTGTACAGATCGCAGATGTTAAACAAAAACGATCCCCAAAGTCAACTGATTCAAAAGTGAAACATTAATTAATCAATAAAGTTATTTGTGGTTTATACCACTTTATAAACTCCATTGAAATGAAAAATTCTAACCAATGTATTATAACCTAAATATCTCAATGTTTCTGTATTCTCAGCAGGAATTGAAGTGACTGAATTCAAGTCCATGAATAGGGTTTAGCAGAGAACTATTTTCAGTTGTAACGGGAATAAAGCCATTTCGTCCTATTGTGGGACTCTTCAGCAGTGCGCATTCTCGATCCCGACTAGCGAGATTCTAACCCAGAACCTACCAGTCTCGCACTAGAGCACTCATGATTCCAACTATGAAAATACTGAAATCTTCACAAAACCTCTTCTGATCTATAATCGTATGCTCACTAATGACTGACTTCAGGATATATGTCCTGGAGTTCTAGTGGGAAACAATGACCAGTAGAGTACAACCAAGTCTGTTGTAAGATAACAACTCACTGAAGACAATTGGTGAACGGTTGATCAGATTTCGTGAATTGGTTGAAGTTAAACATTAACACCGTTGGATGCTGGCGAGCTCAGTGGTCTATCGGTTAAGGTCTCTGGCTCGAGACTGGTAGGTCCTGGGTTTGAATCTCGCGAGTGGGGGATCGTGGCTGCTCACTGCTGAGGAGTCCCACAATATGACGAGTTGGCCGTCAAGCAGTGCTTCCAGGTTTTCCATGGTGGTCTACCTCAAATTAAAATTGAACTTTTCACAAATTCACTATAATGAAGAATTGTTTCATGTCACTCCCTGTAATGTTTTTTACTTCTATTACTAATCTGAATTTTTGATTTCACATTTTTACGTTTATTTTATTCATACAGTTCGAGAATTCATCATGTTTGGCAGAGACTTTTCTTATCATTATTGAATGAGTAAAATGTATTGATTTAATTGAAATATGATGCTAGATCGATAAAGAAAAATAGTTACTACAGAACTGAATTAAGTAACAATATGCAACCACATAGTTGCTTTTTTTAATTATAGGCGAACTGCTTGAATTTGGAAAGTATTAGATAACTGTTTTACCGTGGGTTTAGGATTATTCAGTAGTGTATGTATCTACAATTCTATGAAAGAACGAATCCAGCACTGTATTAATTCATGTTCAATACGATATTACTGAGCTATAGAATTAACTTACAATTGCTACCAGTTCTCCGAACTTGTGAAAATCAGTCTTATCAAGTTGAGGAGATTTGAAAAATCACATGACCTCATCATCGTTCTCATCGAATGATTACTCGTAACTGGTCACAACATTATGTTAGTAATACTGAAGTAAGGTAATATGTAGCTGAGTGAGTAAGTTACAATTTACTTTTCCTAACAGTCTCGAAACATCGTGTTAGCTGGTATAAACTTAATTTACAAGAGTCATCTTAAAGGCTTACTAACTCTGAAACTCAGTGTAACCTGTTAACATATAGTCAGTTTATGGAATACTCCTATAATATGAAAGTTTTCCAGCACTGGTACATGTTGGTCTATTCAGACTCCTTAATTCGAGTCCTAAAAAATATTGAACTCAGAAGCTTAAGATGACTCAGAATAGAAGGCATTGAAAATCATGTTACTGTCTTCTGGTTAATTCTTCATAAATTTCAAATGAAACTTCTCAGTCTTAAGGAAATCTATCCTGGCTGTGTTAGATTATTTATCACCTTATTTATTTAAATACTACTATTATTCACTTTTTTTAGTTGTGATACTCAATACTTCCCCCCTTTTATTTTTTCATAATGCTACCATCCTGATACTCCTAGTCAGTCATACATGACTTCGCAAGGGAATGTATATACAATGTTGATTAAAAGTGCAACGTAATTTTCTGAAGAACAAATATCTATATTTATGAATAAGCCGTGCAAATATTTTCTTTGCAGGTTGGTAATAAAAGCTCCATACTCATACTTGATTTGCTCACTCAAGTAATAGGTTTGATTTGGCTATAGGATAATAAAATATCAGTGTCGAACTCGGACATTCACAGAACACAACACACCCGAATTTTGAATAGATGGCAAATACTACTACTCACACTATTCCTACTATTATTACGACTATTACTATTAATACTACTACCATAAATTTCAATTGATCGGTGTTTCTGTATTTTTATACCTGTCCACTTGTGATCCAAGCATTCAATATTATGAATACACAACGCTTACTGAAAATGCTCATTTAAATGACTGTTTATTTATCAAGCATACCAGTTATTTTTCAAAGTTGAAATCTTGAGTCGATTGAAGCTAGACCATCATGGAAAACCTGGAAGCACTGCTTGACGGCCAACTCGTCATATTGTGGGACTCCTCAGCAGTGAGCAGCCACGATCCCCCACTCGCGAGATTCAAACCCAGGACCTATCAGTCTCGAGCCAGAGACCTTAACCGATAGACCACTGAGCTCGCCAGCATCCAACGGTGTTAATGTTTAACTTCAACCAATTCACGAAATCTGATCAACCGTTCACCAATTGTCTTCAGTGAGTTGTTATCTTACAACAGACTTGGTTGTACTCTACTGGTCATTGTTTCCCACTAGAACTCCAGGACATATATCCTGAAGTCAGTCATTAGTGAGCATACGATTATAGATCAGAAGAGGTTTTGTGAAGATTTCAGTATTTTTCAAAGTTAAAATCATGAGTCGATTGAAGCTTTACCATCATGAAAAACCTAGAAGCACTGGACGGCCGTTTCGTCCTATTATGGGACTCCTCAGCAGACCAGTTATTTACACTTTTTCGAATTATTAATTATTTCATGATGATTAAGCTGATACAATAGTCAGTTGACATGATCATATTATTTGGTCAACAATGTTAACCGATTTCTTTCGATTATATTTTCTTCATATACAAAAAACATTTAAACTCGACGTCACAGTGTACTTTTATTTGACATTAGTTCATTAAAGACAGTTTGTATAAGGTTATGAACCTTGACTATCTGTTAATACATACGTATTAGTAGAGTATCCATGCTATCTCAAGTCTGGTATACTCAGGATTACAGTTAACAGTTAGTTTAGTCACAGAATAGCTTAACGATAACGTCTTGACTTATGTTAGTAGTTAATAAGGATTAGATTAGTTCAATAAGATTTCATCCTTGGATGAGACCAAAATTTATGAACGACCTTGAGGGATGCTAAAGTGATCTTCAGAATGTCCACCTACTAACTATGACTAAATGAGTGATAGAAACCAGTATGAAGAATTAGAATTAAGATTTAAAGTTGATGATTGAGGTTAGGAACTAGATTTAGAATTGTCATCATGAACTAACATCAGTTAAAAATGTCAAACTCTATTTAACCAAATGGATGAATGTATTTCGCACCCAAAATCCAAGACTTGTTATCTTATGTCCGATCAGTTTGTCCATAAATTATAATCTCGCCAATAACTCCAAAACATAGACAGTTACATGCCAATAAAATTGTTGTGTTTTTTTTCTTGGAAAAATCAATAATCAAGTAATAAAACCATAATTTTAAGGGGTTTCAAAAATGAAACATTTTTCTAACGTTTTAAATGCTTCTGAAAAAAAGTAATAAAATTGGGTGACGACAATACTTTTTTTACAAATAGCTATATTTATTTCCCTTGTATGGTAATCTTTTTAGTGTATGTGTATGCCTGCATATGTAAGTATGCATGTGTTCAGATAATAACATGACACAAAATACTTGGTTGCTATCGCATTTGAACATTCAACCAAGTAGTATTGGTAAATAGATCATCTGTGTTTATATTTAAAGTGTAAGGTAAAGTACTTTATAATAGATAATGTCAACGTACCATCAATTGTCAAAGTTTGACATTTATATCAGAATTAATCGTTTCTAAAGTTATGAAAATTTATCCTTGAAAGTCTTATTGAAGACAAGGAACATTTTGGAAGCCTTTTTCTATTCAAAACCTTTGAAATACTTCAGTAAATTCCAAAAGCTAATATATTTGAGCTATTTCTCAATTTGATTATTCACAGACATAGACATAAAAGTCATTTCTAATTTTTTTAAT